CATCTGGTGAAAATTTCATGTCATTAGCACCTCTAGTAATATATTTACTGAGAAAAATGGTGACGTGTTCAATACTTATTTTACCTGCTGTACATAAAGTGTATTTAGTCAAACACAGAAGCTCTTTACTTTACTGACCCTGCAAGATGAAAACCCCCAACCTTTAGTTGTCTTACCGCTTCAGATTGGTGTCCAGCTGTTCGCACTCCAGTTTGTTTTCCAGGCTTTGACTGACAAGGGAGAGGACAAGTTCCTCAAAAGCCTGCAGGGAAGTCGTGTTTTCGGAGGAGTGGATGGCCTGGTAAAAATCAGCCAGCTGCTCTCTGAGGCTGAGGAGGAGAACAAAAATGTGCAAAAAGCAATAAAACACTGTGACTCAATCCTGGTGGAAATGAAAGGTGGCAGGTAAAGTTTATATACAGTATGTTTAATTAAGATTAAAAGCCAAATAAAGTCCTTTTTAAAAGAATCCAGACCTAATTGGACCGTACAAAACCATTTTATAACTCAATATTTGTTAAGCTAGCTATCCATCCACCATAACCTCTTCAAAGTCTTGCTGGATGTGTTATAATGTATTTTTCATCTACTGTCGATTAAAGTGTTAAAATAAATATGGTAAAAACTGTAAATCTTTTATCGTACAACATTGGATTAGACCAGAAAACACAAATAATGTTTTTTCTTTTTTCCCCATTAGCACTGCTTATCTCATWATCAAAGCTAGCTTTTCTGTTCACGTTAGCTAAACTTGCGACATCAGTCGATTTTAAGAGTGTCTAATAAATGTTCAAACGGCTTGCCATACAACAGGTGGTTAACCGCTAGCGAAGGGTTCTTGTTAAAAAAAAAAATTGATGTTTACCTTTCAGAAAGGAGAAAGTTTGCATCTATCCTGTCCACGAACTCTTCCCCACCAGTTTGGGACATCCCAGCGCCAAAAGACGCCAGGTCCAGAGCGTCCGAGACCTCCTGAAACCGGCAGGAGAACTTGTTGTAGTCGATGAAGCCGTCCTCGCGCGCGCCGAACTTGTCGAACAGAGCGTTTGCCTCCGTCTCTGGGACGCTGAGCTCCCTGCAGACCACCGCCAGGTCCTCGTACTCAATCTTACCGGAGTTGTTCACGTCACAGGCAGAGAAAAGTCTCCGAAGGTTGAGTCGGTTCATAGCTTTTGATTTAARAAAAGAAGAAGAAGGAGGAGGAGGAGCACTCAAACTCTAAAAATGTTCAAATGTGACCCAGTTCTCCTCGGACAAAMTGACTTCAGCTGAGTCTGCTGTAGGATCAAATCTCCAAGGAGACTGGTTCAGGTCCAAATGAGGGCGGGTACCAGGCGAGACAATGGAGGTGCACCTCCTCCTACAAGGAGTCAATTTAATTTTATGATTATTTGTCTTCTGTAATGGGACGAGCTGATACCTGCAATCCAGGACAGGTAAAGTGCTCACGTCTGTTTGCCTTTGGTGTGTGGAGCTCACACACACACACACACACACACACACACACACACACACACACAC